CTTGGTGTCATCTCCAAACTTGCTGTGGGTGCAGTCGATGCCATCATCCATGTCATTCTCTCCAGAGCCAATTTGGGGCACTTGGCCAAGGTGTCTCTCTGCGTACAGAGTCACGGTGACATTGGGCCGTCCCGAAAGATGGAGTTGCCAAAGTAGGAAGGACCTTACCACCTACAGGTTTTAATAGATTGAAATGCTTCCAAGGACCAGAGATCCAAAGGCAGAATTTCAGCATGGCTTATGCAGGAATGGGTTGTGACCAGACTTTCTTGGATGAATTTCACCTGACAGCACAGAAGGCAACAGTCACGGGGTAGGAAAGAACAGCTCTGGCTGAGGACAGGCGTCCTAGAAGCACACAGCAACTTTGTGGCCTAAACCGAGGAGCACCAGCACAGCAGTGGGTGCACGACAGATTGCCACGGAGGCTTTCCTCTCTACCACAGGGAAATGGGGTTTTTGGCCAAATCACCTGTTCCCTCTCCAGCCTGGTAGCTGGTGGCCCTCTGCCCAGGCTGTTTGGCATCGGCTCGTGTATACACCTGGCTGTAAAAACGTGGCCGTAAAACATTTTTGGCTTTGGGGGCCGGGGAGTGGTAAACTGCTGTAGCAAAGTAGACAGGCTGTGCCAGGGAACAGGAGTAGAATTCCCTGGTGTCTTCAGAAACATGAGAAGCCTTTTAGGCAGCCAGTAAGGATGCATTGCTCGCACTCCCTTGGGACTGAGCGATTAAGGTAGATTTTTGGTGCTAATGACATTTTCCTCCAGCTCTAACCTGCAGGAACTGTGGAGAGATGTTGCCTTCCTCTAGAAGGAAGGAATTCTACCCGTCTTCTCGCAGCCTGTCGTAGCTGTGGGGTTTGGGCTCCTGTGTAACAGAGAACAGAAGGGCTCCTCAGCACGGCGAGGCGTAGGCTGGAAGTGTGTAAAATCCTGCATGGATTGAACAGTGCCTGTATCATCCGCCACAATGCAAGAGCAAAGCAACACTGAAGTACTCTACCTGGTGGCAGACGCGTCCTCTTTCATACAGCGTGCACCCAGATGAAGAACTCGTTGCCATGGGATGCTGTCAGTGCCAACATGAGGGGAAGAAAACCCCGCTGAGGGCTACGAAGCGCAAAGATGCTCAGAGAGTCCTGTGCTCTCGCACAGGCTGCTGCCAGGGACAGCTCAGAGGGTCTGAGCTGGTCTCAAGGTGGGATGTGTGGGTAGGGGAGAGGATCACTGGCTTGTCCAAAGACTACCTGACCCCAGCAGGAGGTCTAGAAAATGAGCAAACCACAATGCATGGAACACATCTTTTATTCAATACGCAAGCAAGCACAGACGTATAATGTGTAGTGCTTAATAGTCATACAGTACTAAAAATATAAAAATAGAAATAAAATTTCACTGAAAGCATTTTCACTCACAAATATACAAGGAAAAGTGCTGTCAAGCCACATCATGCTACACCACTTGCCAGCTGCTGAACTGAGAGCTTGTTTTCCAACAGAACTGAAACGCTAAAAATCTGCTAGTCCTTCCTCACGGCTCTTGGTGAGCCTGAATATTTGACTAGCAAAAATGGGCCTCCTGCAGCTGAGAACCTAAAAAGCAGAGCTGTCATTACCTAACGGAACAACAAAACGATTCTAGAGAGCTTTACAGTGATAGTAGCCTGCTTCAGGCTGTTTGTGTACCTGTCGTAGAGAATAAGAAAAGAGAGAGAAATCAACGTGAATCCTGATTACAACCCAGACCACTCATGGCTAACAACTACCGAAACCGTATCCTGCGTGAATATTTGTGCAATACTCCCACCTGGTGGCATATGTTCAAAGGCTCTTCTGCGCTGCCCTCTGCTTACGCCAGCATGGGTGTTCACCTTCCACTTAGGTCTGGTGGTGTCCAGTTTGTAACCAGTAACCCAGTCTGGTTTACAAACCGTCAACAGAGCCAAGCGTCCTTAACTTTCAGTGGAAGTACAGGACGCCCAGCGCCTGCTCTTACCGTGTCTAACGGGTGAAACACCCATCTACACAGGGAAGTGAACAGGCTCGGACACTCGGATTCCTCACCAAAGTCCCTGCACCAGACCCTGCCCCGTTTTGATGAGAGTTGGGGGCTCAAGAAGCTTCTGTCTGCTGACCCTGGGCGTGGAGCTGAAGTTCACCCATCAGGAAGACAGCTGTGCGCTGCCATCCATGAAAGCAAGGGCGGGTTTGGGGATTAGAGTGACCATCGCAGCCGTGCTTCGTAACAAGGCCCGCCCCGCAGAGTATGCCAGTGCACAGAACCCACGCAAACGGCGCAGATGAGGGTGTGCAGAACCTAATGTGAACCCCATGTTGATCAGTGACTGTTTTGGAATGGGCTTTATTTATACTTGATATACCTGCTATAAAAATAAATGTGGCGATTAACCCCTGAGATCGTTCTAGCATACAGTTCTGGCCTGTTAACTTGTTTCCCTCTGAAATAATTCTTTTATTTGGTTTACGGACGTTTATTTAGGTTTTAGTGAAAAGCTTTTATAAAACACATTAAATAATCAATGTGGGGCTGAAAAGGTGTACATTCTAGTTGCATATATGATACATACCTCATACGTATATAGTACATTCCGTAACAGCTGAATATTCCAGTATTGTCTAGGAAGTTCTTGCACGTGGACAAAGGATTAAAATACCAGAAGATAAACAGCTGTTTAGGATCAAAGATAACTGTATCTGATATGGTTTACTTAGATTGTTTTTCTTTAAATCTTGTTACACATAATAGCTACAGTAGTTTGTCCAGCAGGTAATAAATGACCGCATAAAGCACTTCTAGCTATATTTGGATATCACGTGCATGCATCTTTTATAAATAAAAATCAAATGTGAGGTCACATTTTCCCATCTTCTGTTTATAAACTAAATCAAATTTCTCATTCATTGAAACAGTGAAGATGTCTTTCCATAGCCCAACTCGTCCTGCAACACAGAGAAGGAACACAAGTCAGAGAGCAGACGTAACAGGGCACCAAATACCTACAGTCTAACGGTGCAGGGCACAGAGTATCCTCTGAGATGCTGATCAGTCCTGCCTTTCATCGCAAGCTCCGTGAGACCTAAGGCTGTTCACTGTCTTACCCAATCCCCCTGCTATGACCCTTTCAGAGTAAATACCACACACCTCAGCATCTGCACCAGCCCAGTATTATTCAGGAAGAACTCCTGTTTCTGGGAGAGTTTGCTCTAGCCTTAATCAGAAATGCACACAGATTTTGGTTTGGGTATTCATTTAGAAGTGTATATCTGGTTTCAGTGCAAACTATGGCTGTTTCACAGCTAACAGTAATACATTTCAAAATGACTATACACTGGTTAGACAAGTATCCAACAGGTACACGGAGTATTAAACTGATTACTGAATTCTGCTTATTGAGATGCAATATCATCATGACTAATTTCTATTATTTTATGTTTACAGGTTTTACATTGCTCAGTATGGAGAGAATTATTTGTTCAATATGAGTGCCTAGATAATATCTACAGAAGAGAACGAATGCCATGCACCCAGTTTGGTCCATTTTAATTTCATACACAAATAGGAAGCTTTTGTAGGATGCAGTATGGACTCTGAACACTTCTTCCTTGCATGAAGTATTCTTCTGCTCCACTGAACCCAACAATTTACATTGCTCAGTATGGAGAGAATTATTTGTTCAATATGAGTGCCTAGATAATATCTACAGAAGAGAACGAATGCCATGCACCCAGTTTGGTCCATTTTAATTTCATACACAAATAGGAAGCTTTTGTAGGATGCAGTATGGACTCTGAACACTTCTTCCTTGCATGAAGTATTCTTCTGCTCCACTGAACCCAACAAGCAACATAATTGCTGAACCCATCAGTCCAAGGCTGTGACCCCTTAACCACTGTTTCACTGCAGTCCACCATTTATTTAACTCCAAGTCAGGCAGGGTTACTGGTTGGTGAATAAGCCCCATGGAGCAACCAGACTGAGAGGCACAACTCTCTTCTCATTTATGCTGGATATAAATAAAGACAAAATCTAGGCTTGTTCAACTGGAATAAATGAAAGGAGAATTGGGACTGTGCTACCAGAGAGTTTAATCTTAACAGCAAGAACAAAACTACATGCAGGGAGCTTAATTATGCATTTGATGCATAAGAAGAATACCCATTTAATTTAATTACCATTGCTTTTATGCAGCAACTCTACAACTGAGTCCAAAGACAAAGCCGTCTGAAACATCTACAAATTACATATTAACATGGTGGTGTAGTGCGTGTGGCAAGGGCTGTTTTACGAGATCAGGGGTTTCCTATAACTCCTAAAAGTATGATAACACTCTGGTTTGTTTTCAGGACCCCAAAGATCCTAAGAACCCGAAACTGACTGAAAATGCATAATTTATTGTTTTCAACAAATTTCTCCTGTCTCAAAAAAAGATTTCAGAAAATGCCTGCAACCACAAACATCTGACACTGATTTCAGTTTTGCTCTGGCAACTATGGTTGCATAAAGTACAGCATGAAACACAAAAGCTTGTATTTCTCTTTCAATAACGATAAGAAAATGTTTTCTTCCTCTGCTCGGGAAATGCAAGCCTTTTATTTCTGAATCTCCCTAACAACACGTATGGACAAATGACAAGTTTTATAAAGGACAAACACAGTGGATTATTTGTAACATCTTTTTTTTTTTTACCATATGAATTGATAGCTTGTCAAAAAGTCACCCACCTGGTTTATGATTTGAATCATGCAACTGTGTAAATTATGATGTGATAAGAGTCAAATACAAGTAACATATCTAATCACTGGTCTGCTTTCACAGCAGCTCAGGGTTATCTTCAGAGTAAAGATCAATGTGCTAAAAGAAAAAAACAAATGAAGAACTAAAATAAAGCAAAATAATAAAGTAAATGTAACTAATGACAAATTAAAAATATTTGAAACAAATTACAACAAGCTGTCATGTTATTGCCACCATTCTTTGTCACAGAAACAAACAGAGAAGGAACAAAGCACCGTTAATGAAGCTGCATTCTGAAGTAACAAAATATTGTAAAAGCCAGAGACAGCAAACAAAAGAAATTCAAAATAAGGATATTTTAATAAAAAGCACACAGTGAACAAATGGCAAAATATCACATTAACTGCTGTAGCTCCCTTCCTTCTCTGTTATGAACTGGGGGCTTCTTTTCGAAAGATCTGTAGACGGTGTAAATACAAGGCTGTGCCCCTCGACGGGGAGTTTGCAGGCTCCACTACAAACAACAACCACTAACGCCACGTACGGAACGGCGCATGCGGCAAAAGTGGGCATCGCCCCCTTTCCCTGGATGGAGATGGACTGGCCAGTGGCCACAGGAGCTGACCCTGCTGCCTGAGGAAGGTCTCACCAGCAGCTCTGTCACCTTTACTCTTGTTTCACAACCACCTTTCTGGCTTTCACTGGGCAAGGAGAGGGCGTTGGGCCGGGAGTGCCCATAGGAATCTGGTTTCCAGGCCCTACTGTCGTAACTGGAGTGTACAGCCCCCACAGAACCTGCCAAGAGCCTTTCCACACCAGGCGTGCAAAGTCACAGGTAAGAAGCAAGGAGGTGTGAGCAATGGCTTTTTTCCAAGTACAACATCCCAAATGGTTTGTGCCAACATACAAACAGGACACGTTATGCTGGGTCAGTTACTCTGACAACAGTCTGAGCTGAGTAATGGAAAACTGGCACGAAGGCAGTACAGAATACCAGAGAACCTGCTTCATGGGAAGGCAAACTTGCTTGCAAACAAACCTGAGTGTTGGCAAAATTACAGTTTGACTGATTAAAGGTGAATGCAAAGAAACAACAGGCTTTCGTAAGGCATGTGATTTTAGTGTTAGTTTTGGGTTTTTTTAACAGAACTGTGAAATGTCAACAAAAGGCACAATAAATGAATAAGCAACTGGCTAACTCAGAATTAGCAGTCAAGAAGGACTGACGATATTTGATATTTTTATCAGAGATTTGAAAATAATTATAAAAATCACAGCTGATACAATTTACAGATCACATGAAGTGATGTAGTGTGGAAAGGGCTCCCACACAGAAACCTAAAAACAAAGTATTCCGGTCACGATCCCTGAGTGAGGGACAATAACCTGTAAATCACTGCCTCTGAAAAGATGTTGTGGTCACGATAAACACATGCTTAGCTTATGATGCTGTATCAAAAAGTGGTAACATGGCTACAGATGGACATACAGGGAGAGGGAGAGAGAAAGTTCCAATTAAAACTTGATTAAATTAGTGGATAACGTGATTTTATGTCTGGATAAGGCACTTGTGAGGCTGATACAGGAATTGTCCATCTTGACCTTATCCCTTCATTTTTAGAAAGAGCCATTAAGTGCTGTAAAGCAGCCTACAGAAAATAATTTCAGGGAGACTTATTCAGTTCACTCTTTTATGCTTATCAGAAAGACAACTGAGAAAGGACTTGATTTCTTGACATTATCAAAGGATATGCTAGAGGGGGACTTTTTACAAGGGCATGTAGCAACAGGACAAGGGGTAACAGGTTTAATTTGAAAGAGGGGAGATTTGGATATCAGGAAGAAGTTCTTCCCGGAGAGGGTGGGGAGGCACTGGGACAGGTTGCCCAGAGAAGCTGTGGATGCCCCATCCCTGGAAGTGTCCAAGGCCAGGCTGGACGAGGCTTGGAGCAACCTGGTCTAGTGGAAGGTGTCCCTGCCCATGGCAGGGGGGGTGGAACTGGATGGGCTTTAAGGTCCCTTCCAACCCAAACCATTCTGTGATTCTATGACAGATGTATCAACAGATCAAAGGGCACTTCAGGTTCCTAAAGAAAGACCTCAGAGTAAACATCTAGAAGCTAAGTACATTTTAAATGGCTGAGGTAGACAATTAAAAGAAAAAGCTCATAAGGAAAGCTACAGGTCCTTGCCATTTATGCCTTCAAATAAGAATTATCTGCCACTCTACAAAATCTGATACAATTGAAAACAAGGCTTAGGCAAGGATAAACTGTTCGAAATTGCATGGGCTTTGACATGCCAAAGGTAAGAAGGATCAGTGCAGCCTTCTCAGCATGAATCGCTCAGTCCGTTGAAGTAAGCCAAAGACTGACTCTAACAAACAGAGAGGTTTGCATGGTGTTGGATATACACTGTTCATCTTGGGTGTTTCCATCCTTTTTAGTTAGTTCTACCTGACTTTATTTCAAAACAAACCCACCCCCAAATTGCACCACCAGTCAGTTACCTCCCACCATTTACCCAGCAATATTTTGCCAATATCTTAACTTGGTAACCTCCACGCTGTGTTGCCAGCTGCTTCTTGCAATTTCCACAATAAGAGTTCTACTGTGGGTTTTAAACGTACCCCTGCCAACGGGAAGTGCTTCTGCATTACAACACTGATCAATGAGCTGATGGCAGTGTTCCACCATGGATTCCAACTGTGCTTTGTCATAAGAAACTCCCAAGAACCTCACCAGTTGCTCAACCATTGTTGCTAGGTCCTGTAAGAGAGTATGTAAAGAGTTTATTTTAAATTACCTTTTTTAATGAGTTTAAAAATTTCAAGGTGAGTTATATCCTGATGAGTGGGAAAAACACAAATGCAGAAGTCAGACAAACACCACTGTCTTATAATTTTGCCACCTTCCAAACCGTTGATTTATATATCCAAGAACTCCAGGGTTCCTTAGTAAGGCTTCTGGAGTTGCAAGGACACAACAGCAACGTTCATCAGGAAGCAGAAAGCTACTGTGAAGCTACCAGCTTTTGGCAGCCTTCTTCAACAAGCACAGCTAGAAACAAGTCATTATCCAAAATCACGGCTTTGAAATAAGTTTGACTAAACCTTTTTAGTTATTCTGATTGTATTACATCATCTTTTAGCATCCCACTCCATCAGAAGGTTGAGTAAAGCTGAAATTATAATTTACTCGGCTTTGCTGAGTTCTACCCTCATTTTGCCTTTCTGCAGGTGTAAAGGCAGAAGCTGGGTTTTTCCTGTTTGCATTCATTTTCCAGTCAAATACACGTTTTGAAGTATTTTCATTAATTCTCAAAAATATATTATTGCAATAGGAAATGGAAAACAATGTTCTATTAATTATTTCCACTAAATTTCTGACAAAAAATAGAGTGGATGTGATAGGCAGCACACTATAAGGACCCAATAATTATGTTCACCTGATGCCTCACAGTCATTCCTAATGGTTTTCAACATTGATTCACAGAGGACAGTAAGAACCACCAAATAATCAGAATAAATGCCAAATACCTAGGATAAAACACGGATGATACACCCTTTTTCTCATTGATACCACACGCACAGCAAGGCATTTCTTTCAAATGGCTGCGGGGGGCAGAGCGTAGCAAGCACTGAACAGTTACAAATCCCTGCCTTCTCTGGGAGAAATTTAGTGCCTATGGATGCACGCAGATTCCTGAGTACATCTATGAAACTGCTGATGTTCACAGAAGCTATTGAATGCCAGCGCTTAAAAACGGTATCAGAGAACAGGGAGCCAATTTCTGTACTTTATGTATTTTAAACACTACGATGCTAAACATAAAATACCTTTTTGCTACATCTAACCTACCTTATGCATATCTTCATACTTGAGAAAAAGCACATTGGCATCCATATGGTGTTCCCAAAACTCTTGCACATGTTCAAACCACGAGCCATATCCTACTACAAAGACATTATGATTGGCATGAAGAAAATGAACACTTTTGTTATTAATCCCTCTTCAAAAAAAAAAAAGAAAAAAAGACGACAAATAAATTAACTGGAGTGGTTCATAGCCCCAGGAGAACTGTGTCTGGTTTTGACCCATTGCCATGCACTGCAAGAAACTTAGTTAAAAAGGAGTTTTCTATCAGTTTGGAATATTCCAGAGAACTAACTTAACAGGAAGATAAAATGTTCAACTGAAAATGCCACCATGTTTCACGATGGACATCCTGGAGCTCAGAATTAACAATGCCCACTGAACAGAAAGTGAGCCAAAATAAGTATCACACAGACAGCTTTGCAGAAGGCAAATTTTCAGTGGCTCCAACCTGTGAGAATCCTGCAACTAACCTATCACACTGCAGCTTCCTTCACTTCGAAGCTAGATATAGCAATCGTGGAAAGATCCATAGAGCATCCTCTGTTACAAGTGAAGAATTGCTAACAATCATTGTCCTTTCCTAATTAAACAAGTATTGAGGAAACAGACCTATCAAAATGCTTCATGGTCATTCCCAAAAACTTAGGATGTATTGACGGCATATTCTATTTATATTACATCTATTGCCCACCCTCCCACCCCTCTCACTCCCAATCTACAACTATTCCCTTCTATTGTTATTTGCTTCCACACAACTTCTCTAGTGGTGCCAGAACACCGTTTCACTATTAGCAGTTGTCTCGATCACACGACAAATCCAGACTACCACCAGATGCCTACGGGGTGCTGAGCGCTCCTGAAAGCTGGGCCTGACGTGCTGGGGTTCTCCCCACGCATCACAGGCTGTGAGCAGGGCCAGCATGGAGGGCTGACAATGACGCAAAGCTCCTGCACACCAGGAGCCGCTTCTCTTCCATTCCCCATACCTGTTGTGTGGGGTTTAGGGCTTGAAGAGAAGCTGAGGGGGGCTTGTGCTCCAGCACTGCTCAGGCAGTGGTTACTGCAAGTCTTAACCCTCCCCCCAAAACTTTCCTCCTTTGCTTTTCACTTCTCTGATAAAGTCTACATTTGCACTGATGTAGGTTAATTTATGTGTCTAGCAGAGGTTCAGATGCTGGTATTTATTATCTAGATGTTTTTGCTGCCAATATTACCAGAAAGGCAACTCCAAGAAATGCGTTCTGCATGGTTTTTTGTTGCCTGTGATAAGTTCCCCCAAAGTCCTTCAAATAATCAAGGAGGGAATTAAGCAAATATGGTGAGCAGTTCTTCATATTCTTTCCCAATATTTTTTTTTGATCCATTTTATCTTTTCAGGAAAGCAGCCACAGAAAAATATTGAACTGGTTATTTTTTTATTTTGAAGCCACCTTTTCCCTTAGAAAAAACTGTTTAAGTTTGGTAAATGGAACACTTTCAATGGACAAAGAGGTCAGTTTCATATGAAAATTATTTTAATCAGCTGTCTCATTTTTAATTTTTTTAAAAGTATTGGAAAAATCTTGGGTTTTGTTGTTCCCATTCCATACACCCCCAAAGAAACTCGCACATGAAACTAGCACACCAGTCACATAAAAATTACTCCTCTCTGCTCTTAATGGTACAGGGCAAGAATACACTAAGATAACATTAGCAGAGTTTACCTATGTAAAAAACTCCCTTAAGCTTAAGAGGATAATGCCGATTAGCACATTCAAGGCTAATCCCTATCCAACTGTAAGCTCTCAAACAATACAGCTAACACGCACTGAATTCGTTTCAAGACAGCCAGGTATAAGGAGGGGTAAAAAGAACGGGATTGTCCATGCTCCTCCCCCTAGCATCACTGCCCCTTGTGAAGGTTTTGTTGCTGCTGCATTGCTTCCACTTGATGCAAACATTTAGCTAAGTTTACTGTATTACAAAACACTCGTTTTGCACAATTATGGACACAGAACATGCTGGGATGTTTTACTGGCTCTGGGAGGTTGTGATACGTCAGCTAACTGCTATAAGATGGAGAAATAAATAACTCCTGGGATACCTATATGAAAGAGTACAGAACCTTCCTCCTGTCTTGCAAGGCCTTCTAATGTGTCTTTCATGTGTCTCCTGCCTAAAAGTTCCCGATCCTGGGATACAGACACCCCATTCTCAGGGAGCACAGAAGTAGAAGCTGAAGGTGGGCTGGAATGGAAGGAGAGCGTTCACCCTCACTGCACAGACTTGCAGGAGAAAACAGCAAAGGTTTTTAAGGCCTATTAAGTAACCTCCACTGGTAGGCTTTTCCCTTTAGTGTCGTACAGCTCCTTTAGCAACAACTCTACCAAACTCCAGGTTGAAGGGAAGTTGGCTGCACTAGATCTAGAGGAGATCCTGCTCTCAGAACACAAGGTACCCGGTGAGTTCTCAGCGTCACATTAAGGCATCACAGAGAAGATTCTGTAGAAAAACAGAAGGCAGTAAAGTTTTTTTTTCCTCTTCCTAGCTAGAAAGTGTGGCAATCCATTGGCAAAAATCCCCGTGGCAGTCAGTTATGTGAGAACACACGAGGCTTGACCTCCCTGTAAGCCTACTGAGCTAGTGCAATGTTGCTCCTTAAGGCAGTGCAGCCCGAGTGGGAACATGGAGGGGGCGTGTGTGTGCCATGAAACAGCCCCTGCTCAAAGGAGTTACTGGGCGGGCAGCTGATGAGCTGGGGTAGAGCAGGTTATTGTATGGCCATCATAGTGGTGTATTTTTCCGACAGACAGCAGCCTGCAACTGCCTTCTTACTCACTCACTGGTCTACTCCAGATCAACCTCATGCAAACTAGAGATTTTTGTGTGTTAACTGGTATCTTACTAGGGACAAATCTTGAGGTTCTGGGATAAAATAAAAATATTAAAGAAATTACCAGGGGAAAAACCCTTGAGGAACAGAATGATCCCCCAGAAGTAGCTAAGCACAGTGAGTTACAACTGAAATCAAATGGTGCTGGGAACATCCACCACTTTTCACAAGGTACCTGGTTCCTTGCAACCTGAACTTTTAACAGAGGGGGCGAGCTTTGTCTGAGCCAAGTAGAACACTGCTGAGCCCATGGGGTCAAATACTGTAAGGCAATGATTTACAAGGCACGAACCACAGTTTGCATGGACAAATCTAAGTCCACGCAGCACTGTAACTGTAGCAACCTCCTTGCTGTATATGCAAAACCAGTGCACCTTTATCCAGTTCATTTCTGTACTTGCAGAAGCAATGTAGAGGTGAAAATAAATGTGTAACAGCATGTGCAGAGAGAACAGCTCCTTACACTTGTCATTCATAAACCTCCTGCAGAACTCCTGAAACGTTCCTCTGTAGCTCATGGTCCTTAGGGAGCGGTGAAACTGGTAATAAGACACCACCAGGTCTTTGGGGTTGCGAGCCATGTATATTACCTACGACAGCCGGGGGAAAAACAAAGTAAATCGTCATATTGAAAGCTTCCCAACTCTCCACCCCGCCATTTCCCAAAGCACTTGAACAACTGCTGTCAATCTAATTAAACAAACATTATTTCATTTCCTTTTTACCTTTGAATTGCCATTATGGAGGTCTGAAGGCAAAAACCGGTATGGTAGGTGGCTTTTTATAAGGCGAGGAGATGTCAGTTCCTAAAACAAAGCAGACAGAAACCTTTCTTATTGTGCATTAGTTTTTGGCACATCCAGAGCTGTCATGAACTGTCACACTTGAAGTCCTTTACTGTGCTGAGTCACATTCATAAATTCACTTCTTTAATTAACAGGGGTCTGGGACTAGAAATGGGGTCGGGGAGTTACACCTGGTTTTAAATATCAAAAGGCTGGATAACATGTTGGGATTTTTTTTATATCACACCCCCCCCCCCCCCCTTTTCAAAATACTTCCTTTTCTAGGACCTTCTTAAGAAAACAGTGTAATAGCTGAAGATTCTTAGTCTCAAACTTTGTTGCCAGTGATGCTTCCACTAAAATTCCTTGAAAAATAGTGTAAGTTAAAAACTGCACAAATCCATACTGGATCAATTTGCTAGCACACAGTACCGATACCAACATCTAGTCTCAAACTCAACCTCTCACTACGGCCACCGCTTACATGCGTCAAGGTAGCACTGAGGTCTCAGGGGACTGGGCACCACGCAGACAAAAACCAAACCAACCTCTGACTCCTAAATACTCTCAGCATGAAGTAGGCTGATGCTGCAGTAGTCAGTGACCAGAAGCAGCTTAAAACTATGGGTGCCAGCCTTCGGTAGCTCAATTCAGCCAGCACTGTCGCTGTTCTAAGAGGGAGCCCAGTATTTTGCCTAATTATTTTGCCTAATAATTCCAATATATACTGCCTGTATCCAAGGCAGTTAGAGCAATGACAGGATCACACTCATGCCATGCCACTAGTCTGAGTGATTATGCATGAAATTATTTCCACATGATTAAGAATATTCCAGAGTGCTCAAACTACACCTACAGAGTCTGTAGGTCCACAGATCCTGGATCTCTAAAGGATTTAGATGTGTAAATGCAGAGCAGTGGGCCTACAGATCCATAGATCTCTGTATTTGTAGGTCCTCTTTTGCAAATTCAGGGAAGGGATCAAAGCAAATCTGCCTTATTTGGGCAGCCTTCTGTTTAGGTAAGCAAGGGAGGCCTGGAACTTTTATTCAGGAAACCAATTGCCAAACTACTTAGGACATGGAGAAACATCTCCTTAAGTATTTAACAGAGTATAACAGAGCTTAATAAAAGCTGTTTTAAAATAAGCTAATAATACTCTAAATCATTCCAACAAACTGAGCAAGTCCAGTGACGGAAAGGACAAGGACACGGGATGAAATGAAGTGATAAACACGGAAACAAGCAAAAAAGATACCCAAATGCTGAAAGACTTTCTTGGTAATAAATTGTACCTTGATGATGTCCAGACCAGGCTGAGGGTACTCTAGGACTGGAAGTTGTTCATCTATATTCATTAGTCCAATCTCATCTGGATCAGCTCCCTGACTCACTAGATATACCACTTCCTGTAGCAAGCCTGTGCCTGCATAAACCAAACAATGAAAGAGAACAGATTGTATTACAGTTCTTATCTAAACAGAAGCACATGAAGGGAGACCGAGACATAAAAATAATAATAACCTTTGTCCTTAACAATCTGCTGTGAACTAAATTGATAACTACTGTTTTAACGCAGCACGTCTGCTCCCATTGTTTTATCTCAAAGACATGAAGATCCCCTTTCACCTAAAGTATCCGAGATTTTTCCTCGGTAATAATTTAAACACATTTCTGTCTCCTAATCATTTTATCTGTGAACTGGAAAACATTTTATATATACCAAGTTTTTCCACTGTGAATGTTAGCTAGGCAAATACTACTACTTCCATCTTAAAAATAGAAAGGAAAAAAAAAAAAAGAGGCAGACAAAGATCATCCAAGCTCATAAAATGCATTAGCAGCCATACTGGGAGACTGCCAGTGTCCCCCATCTTAAATTGTAGTCAATTCTACTGTTGTGCAATGCTTTGAGAGTCTATTTATACCTCCGTGTTACGGACTGGATAAACCACTGAACGCATCAATGCACAGCCTGTTAGTCATAAGCTTGAGAGGCCCCAATTATGTTCATGTCCCCAGTCCAAGGACATTTACAAAGCAAGCATGAGGTATTACAGCCATAATGACTGTGCTTTGGAAAATTAATAGGTGTTCCAAATAGAATTTTGAACAGGGCTACTATTTCAAATGACTTCACAATCAGGCAGGTAGGAAACCCTCAGAACAGGCAAACAAAGGTTCAGAGATACCTGAGAGAGGCTTATGAAGAGAAAGGCATGGGCTTTTGAGAAGATGGAGGAGCAGAATGAGGAGAGACCAAAGCAGGCTAGCAGGGAAGGGACCCCACAGCTCAGATAAGTTACACGGGCATGTTTTGTATGAACTGCCTATGTTGTTCCAGCACAAAGAAAACCAGTGTATCATTATTCAGGGTTTTTCTAATCTGGGCTAGGAAGAGTTAAAAAGCTGACATACTTTAGAGGCTGGTTAGAGAGAACACAGCCTGGACACAATGCGAGAGAACACAGGTCCCCAAGAATTGCTTTGGAGAGGAAATACTTTAAGATTCCTGTTTCCTGACTGATAGGTGGTTAAATTAAAATGGCTTGGGAAAAGAGAAATTTTTACATTATCATCACCCGCAGAGACAGCTGTCACAGACTTAATCCACACTTGCCCTTGAGGCTGTTCACTCCACATTTTTAAGTCCAGGCATATATTTTGTACATTAAAATTAAGATACATGTGGTACTTCACTATCAGTCCTTGTGACTATAGATGAGCACAACCCTTGTTCTCATTAAATATATATTCTGACAAGAGACACCCTGGTTTTCCATAATTTATTTCTGTATTTCCAATTCTGCCTGCAAAGGAAAACACTATTACAGCAACCTCGCTCCATGAAAGGAAAAGGAATAACTATATGGGGATAAAACACACCACCAGGACTGTCTAGTTTTTCTTGACTCATCTGCTCTCTAAGCAAAAAGAAGCCATAGAATCACAGAATCGTTTGGGTTGGAAGGGACCTTAAAGATCACCCAGTTCCAACCTCCCTGCCATGGGCAGGGACACCTTCCACTAGACCAGGTTGCTCCAAGCCTCATCCAGCCTGGCCTTGGACACTTCCAGGGATGGGGCATCCACAGCTTCTCTGGGCAACCTGTCCCAGTGCCTCCCCACCCTCTCCGGGAAGAATTTCTTCCTGATATCCAATCTAAACCTCCCCACTTTCAATTTAAACCCGTTCCCCCTTGTCCTGTCACTACAGGCCCTTGTAAAAAGTCCCCCCCAGCTTCCTTGTAGCCCCTTCAGGCACTGGAAGGTGCTATAAGGTCTCCCCGGAGCCTTCTCTTCTCCAGGCTGAACAAGCCCAACTCTCCCAGCCTGTCCCCATAGCAGAGGGGCTCCAGCCCTTGGAGCATCTTCGTGGCCTCCTCTGGACTCGCTCCAACATCCAGTGGAGGCCATCTCCACCATGCCTCTGAATACAGAAGGGCCACAGGGTTGAGGCAGAACTACGCTGAACCTTCAGAAGAGCGGCATTGTTCCCTACCAGCCCTCTGCAAAGTCCACCAGATAAGTAGGTGAGGGCCAGGGAGCACAGCCCCCATGGCCTTACCTAGTTCTGCTCAGACCCACGGCCATGTGCTGGGTTTGGTTCGACCACGAGCAGATCCACGGAGCACTGCAGAGAGAGAAAACGATACAGTGTAGGAGGCATGGGGAAGAAGGGTTCTGCTTCAGAAGGAAGTGGGCATTTGCAAGCTCACTGTCTTCATCTAAATGTGCTTCCATCAAAGCCAGTGATTAACTGAAGAGTAATGCTGGGCACATGGCAGGTACCCAAGGTAGAAAAACCAAAATCTCCATCAAAACACCACTTTAAATCTGTGAAGCGCAGTGCTAATTATTAGCATGCACATACACAAATTACTGTAGCTTTGTACGTAATGCTGCACATGTTCCAATTCACTCAGCAAACAGTATTCCTGCAGCACCTCTTCTACAAAGGGGAAGACTGCAAGCTGGCAGTTTAGATGTCTGGCTTCTGGCCAGTCAGCAGGTTAGGATTTCTCCTCCACACACCTGCAAGTAGGACCACTGATCCTGAATTCTCCCACCCGTGAATTCTGTGCTAGCTTTCACTTCGGAGAAATACATTACCCTGATTTTCTTCTGCATTAGCACTCAGGTCACTCTGCTTAGGATTTTCAGGGTCTTAATGCAAATGAAAAATAAGGATTTAATTTTTGAGGGCACTGTAATTTTTTTTTAACTTGACACCCTTAATCAATGACCATTTATCCCACACACACATTCTCAAAAGCCCCATATAAAGAATTATCAAACTGATCTCCTGTTTAAAAAAAAATCCAAAACACCACATGCTTATCTGGCTAAAAAGAAAAGTAATAGTATAATACCTCTTCACATCTCTACTGGGATGAAAACCAACTCAAATTAAATTACAGATAACAGATTTAAATGTTCTTTTGGTTTAGAAATGATGGCTTAACCTAGGAACAGAAAAATGGCAGTCCAAATTCCAGACCCAGATGCCAAGACAAGATTTTCAAGGCCCTAGGAACGTCAGGTGGCTTTCCAGCTGACCAGGGTACCGTACCTATGCACTTATGAGAGGCCCAGGCCTAGATGGAGCTAGCAGAATTTATTAAATTTGCTACCGTGAGAGGTGAATGCGAGTCTTGTGCTGTAGCCTCAATTCCTCATCTGCATATACAGCATGCAGAAATTGACCCTTTGAGCCAATTAACTTCAACTGATGCCTGGAGAGATGTGCAAGAACCATCACCTTAGAGGTGAAAGCTACAGCAAACTGCTGAAACAGAGATTTCCAATGGAGAGTATGGGAATAACCTCCAACAATCCCACTCTACCACAAAACATGGACAGATCTAAATGCCACAGAAACTCTTAGTAAAAGGGACAATGATGATACATGTTGGAGAAAAAAAGATGAAGATTAAAAAAATAAATAAATATGCATAACTTTTATGCTTCCTAAATTTCTCGTCTGGTTGCCAGCAATGATTTATTGTCACTTGAGGGTTCACAGATTCACAGAGTGGAAGAGGTTAGAAGGGACCTCTAGAGATCATCTAGTCCAACCCCCCTGCCAGAGCAGGATCCCCTAGAGTAGATCCCACAGAAACAAGTCCAGGGGCTTTGGAAAGTCTCACCACCTCTCTGGGCAGCCTGTTCCAGTGCTCTGTCACCCTCACAGGGAAGAAGGGTTTCCTCGCATTCAGGTTGAATCTTCTGTTTTCCAGTTTATGACCACTGCCCCTAGTCCTGTCACTGGACACCACTAAGAAGAGCCTGGCCCCATCATCCTAACACCCACCCTTTAGATATTGATAAGCATGGATAAGATCCCCCCTCAGCCTCCTCCAAGCTGAACAGACCCAGCTCTCCCAGCCTTTCCTCATGTGGAAGGTGCTCCAGTCCCTTCACCATCGCAGTGGCCCTGCGCTGGGCCCTCTCCAGGAGCTCCTTGTCCTTGTTGAGCTGAGGAGCCCAGAACTGGACACAGCACTCCAGGGGAGGCCTCCCCAGTGCAGAGCAGAGGGGGAGGATAACTTCCCCTGACCCGCTGGCCACAGTCTTCTTAATGCACCCCAGGATAACACTGGGCTTCTTGGCCGTGAGGCACACTGTTGGCTCATGGTCATCCTGTTACGCACTTTAAGTGAAATTAAAAGATTAGGTCACTAAGTGGAAAAAGCTAGCATGTACACATATGAAGCCAAGGTTTTTTTGGAGACAATTGATGTATCTTGTGTATCTCTAGTATTTTCCATCATTCTCTCCTTGCGTTGCTGAATGCATGCACAGGTTCGGTCATGCCTCACTTGGGATGGTACAGAAAGAGTAAACAGTCACTGACAAACAAGATAAATGTGTCAGCCTGTGGGCATGAGGCACCAGATGCAACATTCTTAAGTACCCAGCAATTCCACCCTTCCTTGTTCCAGCTGCAGCAGATCCCCAGCAATTTGAAAGCATGCTAGTTGGGCTGTCCTTTTCCATGATGCCCTGCAATGCACAGAAATCAGGACTCATTAAGAATCCTATCACCCCCACAGCAGCCTCTGTGATGAAAAGGAACTCTTCATTTGTACTCTTTTTCATGGCCAATGCTCAGCAACAACAGCAAAATCGGTTCATGACCGTACTGCCTCTGCTTATCAGTAAGCGTCACGACTGCAGCAGCAACCACGCAGCACTGCAAGACAGCCAAGACTTTTCAAACACCACAGCTACCCCTTTCTGCATTAGATGTCCTTTAACATCAAATTTAGTCTCTGTAGGAGGGCGAAGTATTCTTTATGCAGCTGTTCTCTGGCTCCTCTTACTACTTACTGGCTGCTGTCACACTCCCACACAGCCACTGAACCTCACAGACTCAGTCAAAGTGGAGTGGCAGATACAAAGCCACAAATTCCCGGCAAAGT